CTTATGCAGGGACACTTGGCTCAGTCTGGGAGGAAGGGACTGGACCTGCCTGGACTGAGTCTACCAGGTTGATCGCAGTCCTCGGGGGAGGACTTGTCCTGGAAGAGGTGGGAATGTAGGCTGGGGGTAAGGGGAGGGGGTGGGAGGGGGGAGAATAGGGAAACCCATGGCTGATATGTAGAACTGAATGGTATTGTAATATTTTATATTTAAATATAAAATAAATAAATAAATAAATGAAAAAAGAATGTATCTAAGCTTTTTTTTAGTGATTCAGGCAGGCATTTTAAAACAAAACAATCGAAATCATATTAATATTTGAGATATTTCACTCTGGTGCAGACAGTACCATTTGTACTACACTCTGGTATTTTTTAATGTCATGATTTATATGGTTTTAATCTGTGCAACGCTTTATCAGTGATGGCTCCTTCCATGCCATTCCTTTCCAACTACATTTCTGATGCTTCAGCTGTTTCCAGCATAAAAGAGGTTTTTAAAATGTGAAGACCTCTTCCTCAATAATGCTCTTTTTGTTTGTTTGTTTTTGTTTCTTTTTTGGAAAATAAAGCAATTTTTATTGATATGTTTAGTTTTACCAATGTAACAACTTTAGTTAGTACTATTAAAAATAAGCACATGAAATGATATCAGTTTTAATTTCTCACATGGCAAATATTGCCGGAGAGAATATATGTGAAGAAAAGGTCTTTCGAGGCCTCTGTAATACTGAGGAGCCATAAAGGGATGCCAAGACTAAAAGAAGTTGAGAACTTAGATCGAGGTAACTCCCAAGTGTGTTGTTCTGAAAGAGAACTGTGAGCATCAACTATATGAACATGTTTAATAAACAGCTCAAAATGAGTGCACCCAAAGAGAACTCGTGATAATAGCTCCACCTGAACATTTGCTCTTTCTCCAGTTTTCCCACAGCCACTGTAGTTCAAATAGAAGCCTAACTCTAAGATTCAAGAATCACTGCCTGACTTCTGTGACTACCACAGCCATTCCAGGAATAGTTCTGCAGGCATTACTGCTGAAATATGTCTTCAGTGTATCTGTTTCTATGCATACTGCTTTCACCACCCTTCTACTTCAGTTCATCCTGCCATCACATTCTCTTGGCATCTTGGAAAATTAAATCAAGCAAACAACAATTGTTAATGTGGAGGGCAGGGGTAGAAAATGTCATGTTCTTACCATATAATTATCATTATGGTCACCATCATCACCATTATCAACATCACTATAGTTAATACAATCATCATCACATTCACTATCACCATGGTGACTACCTTCACTCATTACCATCATCATCAGCACCACCATCACCATGGTTACCACTATCACCACCACCATCAATATCATCACCATGATCACAATTATCGTCATCAACATTGTGACCATCATCATCATTATTACCATCATCATAATCATTGTCATCATCTAGATATGATCATATCCTAATAATATACATAGTACTACTAGTTTTTCATTTTCATATAATGATTTGATGATTCTATTTAATCTAAACAAATTTTGTAGATGATAAATATTTAATGCAATATTTTTCATTAATGATTATCAAAGTATTAACATATTAACACAAAACAAACTATATCAGAGCATGCTTTATATTTCAGAAAAAGTAATTTAGATGTAGATTCAAACACAAGTTCTGTGTTTGGTCATTAGTTACAGAGCTCAGCTTACCTTATCAAGTTCATCTGAAAGTGCAATACCTGGGATTCAAAAGAGATTTACAAGACAATTTTAGAAGCAAGCTTTGATGACTTCATGTTACAAATTTAAAAAAAAATTCTAGTCATAAATCTGGTGCATTACCTATTCAATTTTGTTCCTTTTCATTGGTTCTTTAAAATACTAAAATATGTCCTTTCTACTTACGAAAGCAAATTAAGAATTAAAGTCAACAGTGAAGCCAGGACCTGCTGAAGCATCACAAACGAAAGGCAGAAGCTCAGAATAAGCAGATGTTTCTTGTAGGTCCTCAGAGTCAGCGCTAACTTGCTAGAACATCATGGAAATGCCAGTCAACTCCCCTCACTTTTTTTTTCTCTTGAAACTGTTTTTTCTACCCTTTTTGTGTTCAATCCAGAAATTCTCCTGGTAAGGTTTCTTTCTTAAATACCAGAGCTCTTTGCTGAAACATCTTTTCACTGAGTGTAAGTCCTTTCAACTAACTCACACCAATATGTTTTGCTGCAGGATCATTTCCTGTTAGCATTTCAATCTCATCTTTCCTGGTTTTGATTTTTTTTTCCATGTTATGATAGTGTCCCATGTTAGGGCTAGGAAGAGTCTCCTTGCCTAGGCACTGGAGTAGACGGGGCCACCCCTGAGGTTTGGGACAGACAGAAGGAATGAGCTGGTGTCAAGTTTGAGGAAGAAGGATCGGGAGACAAGAAAAAGTCTGTAAGTCTAAAGTGCAAGGGAACAGAATGTCACAATGGGATTTGAAGCTCAAGCTCAGTAGAGCCTGAAGGGTAAGCCAGAGCAGCTGAGCCACATGGAAGAACCAGAAAAAGTCACAAGAAAAGAAACCTTAGTAAGAGTCTCGGCATGCTCAGCTTTCCCTCCTACCTAGACACACAATGACCTGCAGAAGGTGTACAGGATGCTCTATCAGCTCCCACAAAACCTACACCAGCCCAGTGAGTCAATTATTCACAAGAAACAACATCCATTTCTTCATCTCAGTAACTGGCAATGTTCTTCTTCTTGTAGATAAAACTGGAAAAGCAGCATATCTGAGAATACATTCCACATAGCAATATTCCATGACATCTTTTTTTTTTCTTTTGAGAGAGGATTTCTCTGTGTAGCTTTGGAGCCTGTCCTGGAACTCACTCTGTAGCCCAGCCTGGCCTGGAACTCACAGAGACCCACCTGGCTCTGCTTCCCGAGTGCTGGGATTAAAGGTGTGTGGCACCACTGCCCAGCCCATGACATCCTTTTTGATACAAATTATTGGTGAGGATCAGGAGATAGCTTCACTGATAAAATGTTTGCCACACAAGTATGAGGACCTGAGATTGGAATCTCAGCACCTGTGCAAGAAGCTAGATTGCACACTTGTAATCTCAGTACTTGGAAAGCTGAGTGAGGACGATCCTAGGACTTGCTGGCCAAATTGGTGAGATCCAAATTCAATGAAAGACCTTATCTCAAAAATACAGGCAGATAGTCATTCAGAAAAGCCTCTGATGTTGACCTCCAACCTCCAAACACATGAGAATACATTTATACACACACACACACACACACACACACACACACACACACACACACACACACACACACACACACACAGAGAGAGAGGGAGGGAGGGAGGGAGGGAGAGAGAGAGAGAGAGAGAGAGAGAGAGAGAGAGATTGGTGACTAACAATTTCTTTGTTGGAGCTGAAGATATGGCTAATCAATGAAGAGCACTAGCTGCTTTTGCATCGAACTGAGTTTGGTCCCCAGCATCCGTATGGTTCATGACCATCTGTGACTCCATTTCCAGAGGATAAACTATCCTCTTCTGGCCTCTATGGGTACTAGGCACACACATGGAACATCTGTATACTTTCAGGGAAAACTTTATTCAGGAGCATAGAATGAAATAATTTGTTACTGCACTAGAAGACAGTCTAACTATTAGCTTAGGTATAAGGTGGTAACTTAGGCATAACCCTGGTTCAAAGACACTGTACTGTGAAGGAGAAAAACCTGCAGAGCAACAGCATGGGAGCTGGTGTGCCAGAGTAGAAAATGTGTCACCATCAGGAGATGACACATCAGATATATCACAGCTTTGGGGCAATTATAATTATTTATATAGGTTTAACATACATCATAACTTTGTGAATGTTTGGTCTTTTAAAAATACATAGAATTACAAATAGTTACTGTAAATAATTCAAATTTTATGCAAGTGAATGAACTCTGGCATTCCACATGGACCATGTTATGGTCTACAACACACTTAAAATGCATCATTCCAGATTATAAAAGTTAAATACATCTTACAAGCTGTTTTTACATTTAATACTATTCTGCAGAAATGTTTCTTTCCCATATTAATTCAAGATCAAGACTGAATACCTTAAACATAAATATTTAAAAGACTGAATCTTCATATATGAGAAAGGGAATGTAGATGCTACAAAGTAAAATTCTCATTCTCATTCAAAGTCACAACACTTAGTTATCTGGAGTTAAATATCCCGTAGTTCAACAGCTTGGGATTTCTGATTCTCTTGATCTTTTTGACTTGCTGCTCAGATGCCTTGAACCCGAAGAAATAGTTTTCTGATCCAATTTTTAGAAAGCTATCAGTAAATCTTTAAATTTATTCTACACCTCGGATCTCTGAACCCAGTGTTCATAAAGATAGCAACAATACATCACTTATCTACCTTTATCTAAATATCTAAAACACAGACAATTACTACTGACAAGTGAGTTTAAAAAAAAAGTGCCTGCCACAGGATACAGGATACTCTAGAGTGGCGGCTGGCACTGGGAGCTGCTTCCCAGGGTTGGGAAATGTTCAGCAGTGGAGAAGAAAGGGAAGACATATTTCAGTTGAAGGAGTGATGACACCCATCATAAACTCAATCTGCCTAATCGTAAAGCTTGCTTGAAAGAAAGACCTATCTCATTTAACTATTATCAATGCATAGTCTGATGACCATACTTAATGGAAATACTGATTATCAGATAGGCTTAACATTTACATATTTTAATGACTTTGCCCAATAAATTATACTAGTAAGATACTTTAGATCTATTAGATATAATTCACTTAACTTCTGTTTTCAGTATCAAAATGTCTAGGGCATTTCTCATTTCATTTTTAATCAAAGTTTACACTGATTAAAAGTAGTTGTAGGAATTTTAATGAAACACTTCTCCATGGAAGCAGAAAGCTCTAGCCTTGTGTATGAACAGTCAGACATTCATATCAGGGCCTAGGAGAATGTCCATAGCTCTTCTCTAAGAAGGGGTTGTAACTGTTGGGCTTTTCATCAGCCCTTTAAAGCTTACAGAGATAGGTGATCAGTACTAAACCAAATATACAAGAGCAGCTTGCTGTAACACTCGAAGTAGAAGTATTACGTGGATTCTTGAAAGAGCCACATTGAACAATTAGAGGGAATGTCCTAGTGGAGGACTGAATGTTTGCTTAGTATCCAGGAAACTCCAGATTTGATCCAACACACCAGCCAAAACCCAAACAATACATGCAGTGGAAGCACCAACAATCTCTTGTTCTAATCTCCACAGGGGTCTAAGTGGCATCAGGAATTGGCTCTAAAACACAGTTCTTGGGTGCCTAGATTTCAAGTGTGTTCACTCAAGTGGGTGCTTCATCAAGATGTCCATCTACGAGGCCCAGAGTTAGAATCTCACTGTAGCTACAGAAAACACAGACAGTGGCTTTGCACAGTTCTCCCCACCTTGGTCACTGTGACTCACTTCATCAAATTAGGTAAGGAGATGCTCATATGAAGTGATCCTAGCTATTTCTCCCAAATCTGGTTCCCTGTTGGGGAAACGAACCTTCCTGATAGAATGTAGAGACATAGTCTCCCAAACCTTCCTCTTGGAAAGTCTTTTTCCAATTCTGAAGGAAAATGCAGAACTAGAGGACAAAACATAGAAGAGCTGATTTGAGAATGGGTTGGCCCACGTTAGCTTGTAGGAACAAACTCTGCACATTCCTCCCCAGTGGCTCCTTTAGAGACATCCCATCGTCAGCTTGCAGTGGGGCTAACTGTACTGAAGAGCTTGATAACTACAAATCTGGGCTCATTTTTAGAATTAATGAATTTAAACTACTTACTGTAATAGATAAAAATCACTTACTTTGATAGATAAAAATACTTACTGTAATAGACAAAGCAGACACCTGCAAAAAATACTGCGTGCATCACCTGATAAACACCCTTGAACATTTTTCAGTTAAACCCTCTGTAGACAGGCTGCTTTTAAGGCCAAGAATTCCTGTTTGCTTGCTTGGTTTTGTTTCTGTGTTTTGAGACGGGGTTTCATATTGTAGCTGAGGCTGACCTTGAACTTACAGCAATTCTGCCTGAGCCTTCTGTGTACTGTAGTTGCAGACATATGTCATCACACCCAGCAGAACCAAGGAATTTGTTTTTGATTGCTTAGTCTTGTAACAGATTAAATAATAAATATTTTTGTTTTATAAACTGTATATAAAAAGATAGAAATACACATAATACATGTGCAGTTACCTCTGCACTGTGCCTCCATTGTGTATTGTGGTTGTATTCTAACTAGTGAATAGTTGGAAGCGCTCTCTCTCTCTCTCTCTCTCTCTCTCTCTCTCTCTCTCTCTCTCTCACACACACACACACACACACACACACACACACACACACACACACACACACACATCCCTAAAGGAAACCAAACAAAAGCAGCTTCAAACAACACCCCTTACCTTCTACTAACTACAACCTTCTCTGAGATCCTCCCTTTTTAAACAAAACAAAACAAACCAAGAAGATCAGGGTCTTGTGTAGACCAGGACACTAGCATCAGAATCAATAAATGAACTTCTGGGCCTCCATCTTCCAAAGGCTGGGGTTGCAGGCAAGCACCACCACAACTGACATTCTTCTCTTTCCATGAATTCTTTTATATGAAGGCTGGCATGACTTAACACTCTCCCCACCTTCTACCTGTCCCTCCATCTACTCAATGC